GCTAAAGTAATGCTGGTCAAAAAAAAAAGCTGCTGAAGTAAGGTCGACGCCCCCTTTTTACTGGGCTCTTTTTGTTCCGGTCCGCTTCATCGTGGTCAGTCACAGTTACTCCCAAGGAGCGCTGGCCAGCACATTTCTCCCGTGTTCGGGTTTGGGTTGGGGATTATAATATATTATCCCAACTCATTAATATAAAAGTTAGATACCAAGAAAAATTAAGTCTAATAAAAAAATTAGTCTTTCATAGTATGGTAAATCAAAATTCAAATATTCTCTAAAAATATGCCTATATTTAGTATCTCACAGTACCTTGAATATGATTGCCTCTAATAAGAAAATAGATATGCATAGTCAAAAAAAAGTTAGATAATTAATTTATAGATATCAGTAAAATTATTTAAGTTAGCTATTTATAATAAAAATATGTCTTTCTTAAAATATCTCTATATTCATAGTGTGCATTTGAATTATTTGTTGATAGTAACTCTCTAACATATACAATCAACGTAGGGATTACTTTTGTATAAAAAAAATATAGGGATTACTTAAGGGCAAAATGAATAATTACTAGAGACGAATTGAATCTTTAACCTAATCTTATATTAAGAATTGAAAGCAATACACTTCTATTCTTATTTACTACAAGACATTTAGAATACGTTTCATCATAATTACAAAATCTTAAATTTCATTTACCTCTTCTCTTATAATTTAATAATTTCCCAATGGGAAGCTAACCCAATAACACTACCATTCATCATGTTTTGATAAAGTATTGGATTTTAATTAACATGAGTTGAGTCTAATAGAAGAGGTTAATCCCTTATAATGTAACGAATCAAGATTCAAATTCCTGCTGAGAGGAATGCCCACATTTAGTATGCGTGGAGCAGAATTATCTTTAATACGAAGATATTTGTACTTAGCAAAAAAAAAAAAAGATTTAAGCCCGGCATTATTATGCTTTGTACACGCTTGTTTAAAGGGCATGAACAAAAAAAAAAGTAATTATTGAGTAGATTAATTAAGTAGTTAATTAAAATCCACCTGCCCTTAGGTGGGTATTCTGTAAGACCCTTAACCTCAAAAACATTATAACTCGTCATAAGACCACTACTATGGTAGAAAAAGAAAGATGTTACAACAACTACCATAGTAGAAAGAAATTGCGTAATTTTAGAAAATTAACATTTAAAACTTGGTTCCATCTCAAATGCAGTTGCATGCAACTATCATCATTCAATCACAATCACTGGGCCTCCAAGCCTCCGGCCCGGGTAACGACATACATCAAAATCAGCCCATCCCAATAGATCTCAACCACGAATAACAAAGTTTCATAAAATAATAGGAATGGCCTCCGGCCAACAAAACGAGTAGATAATATATTCTCCAGTTTACAAAATCAATAAAAAGGGGCCTCCGGCCCAATTGAAATAAGAAGAAGATACACTTCCTCCAGTTTACGAATAAACCGGGCAATCAAAATAGTTTAAAAGGACCCTAAACGTGGCAATATACAACTATCCATACATAAATAAAGCTAGAGGCCTAAAGCTAACCAAGCTCAAGCCTCTGCGTCTCTTCCCGAAGGCGCACGCCTAGAACCTTCACTTGAAAATATTGTAAACCACGGGGTGAGACAAAGTCCCAGTAACCAACCTTTCCAATACTAGGTACTACTAAATAGATGCTCGTGAGGTGTCAAGTGGGGCAGTTCACAAATTATATATGTATATATATTGATAGCCACAACAATTCATGCAAGTGCAATGATGCAATCCCATCAATCAAATCCCTCACTTTGGGGGATTTTCAGGAGCCGAACCCGGCCTATCCCTCACTATGGGGGACGTAAGGAGCCATAAAGGCCTATCCCTCACTCTGGGGGACGTAATGAGCCCGAAGGCCTATCCCTCACTATGGGGGACGTAAAGAGCCAACCATCATGCATTAATGGAGGCCTTACCACGTGGTAGTAACTATCAAACTCTCACCAAATCCCAAATTATGCATCATGCTCAAATCATAATCAAGAGTAATAATCATTTCATAATTAACCTCATTCAGTGGCATATCTTTCACAATTCCAAAATTCATTTCACAATTCCAAAATTCATTCATCATTAGTCGAAAACCCCACAAGACGGTTTTCCCTTTCTATATACAACATATAGTTTGAACACAATTACTACTTGGAGCATAAAACACAAATCTACTCACAATACCACAAAAGCAAGTACTAAGGATTGGAAAGTGATTACCTCTCGCCTGAGCAAGGAACAACAAACCAACGATGTGACCCCGTGCACCACCGAGACTCACAACCGGTCTACACAAGCACACAAACACACAACCAACATATATTAGCTCTCAAACTAATAATGTGGCCAAAACAACACTTGAGGACACAAAATTCCTATCTCCCATCAAAACTCTACCCAACTCAAAGGGTATAACTATCAAAACAACACTCCAAAGTCCTCAAAGTCTATTAAAACATCAAGTCTCCTTCCAAGCATCAATTAGAGTTCAAACCTCAAGGACCCACTATAGGAATTCAACCTCCAACATCTCATGTGAGCAATTAAGGTTCCAACAACAATTCTAAACCGATTAAACCTCCAATTTAACCCTCCTTAACATAACCCAATTCACAAAACTCAAAATCAATCTCTACATTATCATCCTCAATCCCAAATCATCCAATTCCATAAACCCTAACTCCAAAACTCAAGATTCTTTAAATCTAAGAAAACTACACCGATTAAATACTTAAACTAACCCAATGCAATCAATTAAACCCAAAACAATCGGTCAAAAACCTCAATTCCAACACAACCTAGAAAATCCTAGGGTTTCTCCATAAATCCTTATAAATTCCAATCAAGAAGGTAGATTAGAGGTTAAAATCACTTACTTGAGGTAATGGATCCTTAGAAATGTCTCCTCCAAGCCAAAAGTTCGAAACCCTAGCAGAGCTCCTCTCTCCTCCTTCAGATTTTTCTTATTTTCGCACGCTGAACCCTCCCGCGACTATATAGATTCGCGACCTTTCGCCGCGGCGAACTCCATATTCGCCGCGGCGAACTAATCCCGAGAGGGATTACTCGCCTGAAAACCTGACTTCGCCGCGGCGAAAGCTTCCCGAGAGGAAACTCTCGCTCGCCCAGAAGAACTTCGCCGCGGCGTGCCCTTACCTTCGCCGCGGCGAAATCTTCCAGAAAGGGAAGCCTCGCTCACCTGAACAACTTCGCCGCGGCGTCCCCTAAACTTCGCCACGGCCAAACCTTCCCGAGAAGACACTCCCCTCTGAAACTCCCGGTGCACCGCGGCGAAGTCCTGAGAGGGGTACGTTCACCTATGCCTCCAACCAACCTCAAATCCAACCCAAACACCAAGATCAAGATTAAATCACTAATCTATCCTCAAAATCAACCCAAAAGAGGCTATTAAAACCCGATAAAACTTAGGATGTTACATATTCCGCTCCACCATGTGAGACTTGGGAGTTCGCTTGCACGGTTGCACCACGCCTTAACTTCCAAACCACAACACTAGCACTTAAATGATCCTCCCTCCCTTATCAAAATAGAAGATAATAATGGGATGGCCTAGGATTAGGAAGAATGTTATGCCTTGTCCTGGATGTGATTAAATTATTATTAGTATTATTACTACTACCACTATTACTACTGCAGTTTCAAAGACGAGTGACATTGTTTATAATCTGTAAGCTGTATAGTTAATTAATAATAAATCATGTGTTCACATTGACACAATTGGGTCTTAATTCTCAACATATGCGTATGAACTGATATTTCAGGTATCATGCTTGGAGTTTTGGGTTATTTTCTGTCTTATTAGAAGTATCATTTGTTTATAATCAATTGTTTATATCTGAACTAAATGGATTTTGGCCAACACACACACACACACACACATATGTTCTAAATCAATTTTATTCATTTTTTGGTCTACATCCCTATTTCTAACCGATAAACCTTATATCTTATTTTTTAAAAAAAAAAAAGCATACCACATGCAATTTGAATCCTTAATAATTTTGGTTGGCCCAAGAAATACTTAATCGTAGTTCTATTTTAATTAGTTGGCACAATTTTTATATGTCTCATAAAATTTAAAATAAGTTTCATTATTTATATTTTTATAAATAATGCAGCCTGTATCAAGTTTTATACTTCATACTGAATGCGCATACACACATAATAAGTTAAATAAGATAAAAAACAGTGAATATTTAATGCAAAGTTTCTATTTTTTTTTCTTTTGAGTTATTAATTAGATAAACTTAAAAAATTAAATTTAATTGATCGATTTGGCGTTAACTTATCCAATTTAATTAATTTTTAGATTCAATTTGTTCAGTTTATGCATGACTTTTTTTTAAGTGATTTTGAAAGATCAAACAAATCAAATTTATGATAAATGCACGGTTTTTTTTTTTTGGCAAACCTGAATCCAAGTTAGAAGTCGTGAAAAGAAGTCAGTTTCCAAATTATCAAGTTAATTATCTTTCTCAAATTCTACATGAAATCAATATATTTTCTAGCCTTTAAATTAAAACTTGCCCTAAAAGTTTGTCAAAATTGGGGTGGTCGCAAGAGGAGGAAAAAATGTTAAGAGTTGAAAAAGGTTTATGAGCGGTTTAAGTTTGGTGGTTTTGAAAGTATGCCGTTACAATAGAAGTTTTTTTTTTTAAAGAAAAGTTTTTACCACAATCGTATTTTGTTCTAAAGACATAATATTTTCTGTTTGTTGCAATAATATTTTAATTTCATAAATTTTTTTTTTGGGGGAAAAATCAACGATATTGTTGCAATGTAGCGTGGCAAGTGTCAATTTCATGTTATTTACCAAAAGAGAGGTGTTAAAAGTCATGTTAATACGGCCCTTAACCCCTTATATGAGCACTCAGCCAACATGCACATGCTCTCAGAAACACAGATCTGAAATTAAAGGATTCATGAAGCGTGAACTGTGAAATATAAATTTTCTTTTTTCAAAAATTAAACCTTGCATCTATTCGCACTACAGTAAAATTCCATTCCATTTTCTTCCAAAGCACTCTTGCAATATCCACATAATGAAAATAAATCGAAGTTTAATGACAGTGCTAACATAAGATACTGATGTATGGAAGGTCCATATATTCATGCTCAAGTTGTTACGGTGCTCTGCTCATCAATATCGCGATAGATGTGCCATTTTTGGTATCTCTGATCTCCATCTAAGACAGGCCTAAGTCTAGGAGCAGTTGTGCAACTCCAACAACAGCATCCCCTTGCATCTTTTACACATTTTCTGCAGCATCTGTAAGACAAAAGATTTGAAGCAAATCTAAAATGCCAGGTGAGCCAAAAAAAATAAAGGGAAATGCGAGAGAATCTTACAGGAAAAGCAAATTGCAGTCAAGATTTGCACAGTTCCTATGCCTCAATTCACTGACTTGAGAACCACATATGTAGCATTTCGCAAACTGATCATTTGCAGAGACTTGAGTGCTGCCTGTTTCAGTTGTGGCTCCAGGATGGTATGAAGAAGGAGGCAGAGACAGACGAGAGTCGAACACAAATAGATTTCCTACCCATTCCGTAGGACCTTCATTCTTTAGATAGTTAGAAACACCTCCCTGCAAGGTGTACAGATTCCGAAAGCCCTTCTTTCTGGCATATCCACAAAACCAATTCATCAGAATCAGTATTATTAGGGGGAAAAAATGAATATCTTGCATTTCCAACCAATACATTTCAGCTCCATTAGTCAACTGTTTCCTTCCATAAAAAGGAGGGAATGATCATGTGCCATGCAAGCAGGTGGAGTGAGCCCACCTGTGTTAGAGTAGGCTTGCATCATAAATACCTAGTCACATCCTCAGCCAGATATCTCATTCTTATAACTTCAAACCCCCAAGAAAGGTCTAAGCAGCGTTACTCGATTCCAGAAGCATGTGATGAGTCGTTATCTTGTTAATTTTTAGTTTCATAAATTATTTAGCCGGTGGTTAATTTTTGTGGTTGTTCAAAGGATAGATTGTAGAGAGTCGTATTGTCTGTGTTGAAAACAGATCCCATATGCAACTAAGCCTAGGAAGTGATAACTGATAGTGAAATATGATCTATTAGAACTTTATAATGGAAGAAGTATTTGTTGCCATCCTGAGACAAAGAGAGGGAAAAATTACATTATGATTTACCTCAGTATTGTGGAATATACATCACAACGAATCCCTCCAGTGCAGTACATCAATATATTCGTTTTTTCTTTATCTACATTTGCTAAAGGATCTGAGGCAGCCACCTAAATTGGAATAAACACAAAAATGAAGTATATTACCAGTCATCAATGGAAAGATCAATTTCAAAACCTCTTTCCAGTTACTGATGATATGCTAACCTCAGACCAAGGCAAACCTCTTTACTAACCTTAAGAAGAAAAATATTTTAAATAGGTAACCTTAATAAACAGCTAGAATGCTGCAAGAGAAACAGGATTTAATAGAATTACTTAAAAAATAATGTATACAGCTAACCATATGTTTCAGTAGCATTATATCAAAATTTCATGAGTGTGTATTTTTCAATTCTCAAGCATTGGCTGGAGCTTAATGCCTGCGTCTTCAAGAGCATATATATAACGCTACATATATTATAGGAAAGGACTGTGTTTATTGAATTTCTTTCATGCTTTTCTCTTAGTTGTTTAAGGAAAGTTTTTTATAACAAAAACATATAAAATAAATGATCGGGCAGGGGTAATACATTTTTAGCCTCTTTGGCTCTTACTTTTATAATTTGCAAGATGCCTTGTCATCCTCCCTACATGTGAAAAGTCTCAACTACACCAAACATATATTAAATACACACCACGTATGGCTTTATTAGGAGCAAGCATCATGATAAATTCCAACTATATTTTATGGACACGTCAAATAATGACCCTACCTCTTCCTGGGACCAGCCAAATGAAGTGCTTCTAAAGCAGTCTACATTAGGGCGCACAGCACCACGAAAATGTCCAATATCCCACTCATAACCTGAATATCAAGAATAATATATTTATTTTACAAAGAACTATGACAGTGATAAAGTTTTCCAAAACTAAAAATAGGTGGGCAAGCATGCAAATAGATCTTCGGAAATGTTGACTACGAATGAGAACAGAAACTATGATGTATATGAGCCACAGAACTGCCTTAAGATCAGATTCATATAAAAAAGTTCATCCATTGGCAATGACGAAAGATTGTGAATTAGCAAGAATATGATGAAATGAGTCAACAGGTTAAAGAAAGAACAATTAAACAGTTTTTTTCTTTTTTCCCGGCATATTTGGGTAAAGAAAAACAAAGCTGGAGTTACTTTAGAACAGAACTATTACCATTTCTCACATCCAATAGAATGTAATTGGTGTCAGGACACTCTTTTGAAGCAAGACCAGTCCTATTCATTGCTTCCAATCTATTTCTCCATTCTGATGGGGCTAAAGGTGTTGCTCGCATTGAAGAATCAAGAAGAGGAAGAAGTGATATGCCACCTTCCAACTGTAGAACAAATAAAAGTTACAGAGAGATGGTTTCATTCTAAGTTGAGAACAACTGTTCAACTTAAACATATAAAGACAACAAATGTAGAGGACACAGAAACAATTTAAAAAGCTACAGCTCAGAGAAATCTTAACCACTGCATGATAATTAGTTTCAAAGAACTCTTGCATGACAGAGAAAATACAGATAAGGGACTATAAAGCATTATCAACTGTAACTTGCTCTGTAAGCATGATAAGATTTTATGACATACTACACAATGCACTAACATATATGGCTTGCCTGTACAAGTGAGGGCTTATACCGCAACTTCAATCTCGGGAAGGCATGCCCTTTTAGTGATGGAGAAATCTGAACCAGGATATCAGAAAATCTGTCATCTTGCCTTAACCATTCAACATATGCCAGAGCATTCTTTGATGGTCCACTATACTGCATACAGAGTAATACACCATATCAGCAGGAAACATATACTCTTTAGACTCCGAAACACCAAATTTGACATGTAGTTGCTCTAGGGAAGTTAACTTTTGTTTGGATTAGGACCCCTCTGTTAAGGGTCAAGATCTAATATTGGGTAATTCACAAAGAAACAATATGTACTGATATTTGAACCCACAGTCAAACCCAGCCCAACATAAACCTTTTTACGGATGTCTCATGATAGAATTACTTACAACTCCTAAATCGGCTTGCTTATATAGATGAAAATAAATAGTTAAAGAAAAGGGGGAGGGGACTGTCCATAAGCTTGTCTAGAATTAATAGATTCAATGCATAAGACTTACTAACCTGCGCATTTATACCTTGCTCATTTATGTAAATTCTGCCATTTATGTCAAGACCCTGTCAACAGACCAAAAATTTACACCTGAGAGGAAAATGTGGAAATTGCAATTAACCCCAAAAGTGCAACATATCAGGAAATATATTCAATATCCTTTGAGCTAATACTCTTTAACATTAACAAATAACCACTAATGATTGCCAAAGTGTACATGTATCAATAGGTGCATGCATGAATAGTGAGCTGAAATTCTTAATGTCCCTAATGAACCCAAAGAAAGATTAAAAATGAGCGGGAACCTCCATGAACGCCAGGTGCTTGGCGACTTCTGCTTCCGGGTCATCGATAAACACGAAATGGTAAAAATTGACCACCACGAAATCACCCTCAAAAGCTACAGAAGCATTGCATTGGCTAGAAGTGGAACAACCAGTTCTGCCAAAATTGTCTTTCGTCTTCTTCACCAAGCTGGGCTGTGAAATGAGCACAAACCATTTTCTATGGCGGAAAGAGACAGAAGAAAAGGTTTCCAAATTGAGAAGATGCTTTTGGAAAGGAACGCAGTCCCTGTAGGAGAACGAAGCAGTAACTTTAGGAGTGAGTCCACCGAAGATAGCCTCACAGGAGAGCTTCATCCTTGCGGAGAACTCTTGGGGGTCAGTGCGTCACTTATACTGGAATTGACGACTGAAGAACAAGCTGAATTTGAAGGCTGAATCAGGTGTGTGAAAGGCCTGCCGAATAAACGTGGGCTGGCATTGATCGGAGAACCACTGGATCTGGAGCTCTGAAACTACAAGCCCAGTCTGCTCGTAGATTATGTTATTGGGCCCAAAACCTATTATAGTCTAGCCCAATTATGTAATGAGAGAAAATTATGATTTAGGAATAACTTTTAAAGTTTTTGCTAATAACATGTGAAAAAGATTCTTTTGATGAGTTCGTAATAAAATTTTATTTTCTAAATACGGATCAGTTCTCAAATTGATTCCTAAAAATTTAAGATTAATATAAAAATGAAATGAGTCATATTATTAAATATTAATACATGCATAATATAACTCTATTTTCTAATTCAATTTAATTTTTACACAAACGAGAATTGCCAGTGTAAAATAAATTAAATGAAAAGATTTCACAACATTTATTAAAAAACAAAAAGTCACGTGAGATGAGCTCAGGTGGCAGGTTTGAACCGTCACAATATTTCCAAAAAAACAAAAAATCAAATTTCAATTCACCCAAAAAATGTAACAAGTGTTTGCATAGCATATTGTTCTATTGTGTTATATATGGCCGTGCATGCTATCGGGACATTAGGAATAATATTTTCAGATATTGAGAATTATTAGTACTCCTCCAATCCTTAATATATGACTCAATTCTTAAGTTTATTTTGATCCTAAATATAAGACCTATTTCTCACATTTATCAATTTTTTCTAAATTACATTTATAGATACTCCCTCAATCATAATCAAATAGAAAAAGAAGAGGAGGTATTAAGTGAACTACAGTTTCCAAGCAAGAAGAACTGGCCAATTAAGTGAACTAGAACTCGTACCAATTTCGGTCCCCCCAACATTTCGAGGCCAAATGATTTGAATTCATTCAACTTTCTATTATAACACATATAGTTCCCCACATCACTAACAGTTAGCGTCCAGCACAGCGTAAATTCAATTACTCCTCCTCTTGGGTCCCATAACGGCATTTTGCTTTTTCTCCTTCTATAAGCTTCTCCACAGCATCTAAAGGAAGGCCGATCATCTCTAATGTCTTCTCCCACACTTCATATGATGTTTGAATGTTGTGTGCTTCTTCTGATGGGTTTGTTGGACGGCAGTCTTGAGAGAGATAGGCACAAACTGGCCATTCATCTGCTTTCAACATTTCACAGTACTCTGGAACTTGGGGATCGGTGGCCGCGAAAAGTGTGCTCCTGGAACCTGCATTTGTGGTGGAGAATCAAGATAGATCATCAGAAAATTATTCAGACATGCTTTTATCAAGTTTTTGTAACATACTGCATTTAATTCATTTTATGATTAAGTTAGAGGAGGAAACTTTTAGAATGATTAGGACAACACAAGGCATGAGAAATCAAAAAACAAGCCAATCACATCAAACATCTATCACACACAGGCAACAGCCACCGTCTATCCCCAGGTGCCTCAGCACTTCATGATTGTTAAGCACTTCACTTGTAGCCTGAAGGAACAGGAACTAACCTTCTTGAGCGTTAAAGATGAAATATGGGATCAAATGATAAGCAGCCTGAACTAATTTGGAAAGATCCCTTGCCTGCATGAGATAAAGTTGAAAGCACAAGAGATACAAAATGTTTATTAAGTAAAACATAAAGGGCGGAGACAACTACTGAACCACAGATGAAGATGAAATTGAGCCTGTTTGGATTAGTTCAGGATTGAGGATGCATTGTAGCAATTATGGACTTCATGAAACATGTTTTTGCGAGACATTGTACTTGACCCAAATGATAGTTTCTAAATCGAGTCATCAGCATCATATTCAATGGAAATGTTAGTTACTATGATCCCATATGTCACACAAACTTCTGTGAGAACACTCTACTACTTAAGGCACAATGACATGTAACCTGCTAGAAATGGATTGATTACCATGCTCTCCAAAAAGAAAACATTTTTTCTTGTCTCCGGAATGTTTCCAAAGGGGTTTTTTTTTTTTTTTTTAAATAACCATATAGTAGGAGCATTATAATTAAAGAAGACTCACAACATTGGTGTGGACAATTCCAGGTGAGACACACACTACACTGATGCCAGCTTCAGCAGGGAGTCGCTTTGTAAGAACAGTACTAAACATGACCTGCAATCAAAAGGCCAACTCCTGTTCCAGTCACAGCTTAGAGATGGAAGGTAAAGTAATTTCACTTTCACATGAGTTTACATAATTGACAAGCAAAAATCAACTTTGGAAGCCAATATTAAGCGTGAATTTTGAAATAGAAAAAAGGAGAACCACAAGGAAAATCAAGTATCAAGAATGTTATCAAGAACAATGTAAGCAAGAATTCATTCTAACAAAGACCAGCCAACAGGAAATATTATAACTTTAAAAAGTTATCAAGAACAATGCATGCGACAACAAATGCATATAATTAGTCTATCCTACAGCAGGAGTACACAGCAATCCAAGACAAACCAAGCACTAGATTATTCACATAATACAAACAAGTTAGCAACAGCATAAGCCACATCTCAGAACACAAAATTTTTAGTCAACCCATGTCAGCACCTTTCCAGTTAGAAAATACTCATGATTGAAAACAGAAGTAAAATAGGAGAAATATAAAAATAAGCAGTGAAAATAACTCAGCTAAATATAAGGAAATGCATGATCATATGACCTAAGTGGTGGATAAGCAAGTTAGCACTATTGTTGTTGTCCCCAGCTGTTGATGCTAAATTAGAAAACACCTGCTGGTCAAGGAATCAAGAGAAATGGCACAAGGATCGCAACCATGTAGAATACGACTATAATGAATATAGAAACCAAATGGGAAAAGGGATAGGCTCTCCATCAGCGCTGTTTTGTTTTAAGGAAAAATGTAGAAGTTAATCTGTCTCACACCCAATGTTTCTGACTTTGAAGTTAAAGTATTGGTAATTAAAGGATAAAAAGAATGAAATGGACTTGTATCAATAGAAAAATGGGTAATTAGGCCTCACTGCACTTGCAGTTTAAATCAAATAAACTATAGTGAAATAAGACAATAACAACATTTATTTAAATGAACTAAAATAGTAACAAACAGCAAACTGAGCTGCACAACCATTTGTCATTAACAGAATAAGAAAGCCAAAAGAGATTTTAATATTTTATCCCTGTGATTGGGCTCTGAAGTCTAAGGGGAGTGCATAAAATAAAATCAAAACACAAGCAGTATGAATATGATTGGCAAGCTAATCCATATATATAATTGGTTTTATGCTTCCTTATATATGGAACTTTCAGTAGGTTTCAAAATAATTTTTTATTGATAAAAGGAAAGAGAAATAAAATGTTCAAATATGATTCTCAGCCTTTGATATCAAAAGTTTAAAACGTTGAAAGTTAAGTGCACCTGTGCCAGCTTGCTGTTAGAATACCCCAACATACTCGTAAATTTCCTTTTTCCAGAAGTGAAATTCATGTCATCAGGGTCAACAAAGCCAACATGATGCATCTACAAGAAAGAAAATGGACAAAGCACTCAATAAGATTTATTAGGGTGAAAAAAAATGAAAATAAACAGCATGATACCAGGTTATTAGAGAGCCATGGAACAGTAAAGCAATATCCATGGAAACAAAGCCATTGAACAGAATAATATCATACTAGTACAAAATTTTGGGTAAATGTAAAACAACAAGCTCCATGTTACACTAGTCTCTAACATGTTTTCTTTCACACATACACCTGACCTTTTAGTACTTGAAATATGTGAATTAATAAAAAGTCAGATTTCACATGACATTTTTATAATTAAAAAAATCACAGTGAAGAAAAATATCTGCAATTTTGTAGAGCTTTATGGAAAAGAATAGCCAGCCCTGGTGAAAATGAAAACTAATAAATATAGAAATGTTTCTCCTTTCCTTTCATCTTTGGACACTCAAAAATGAAGCTTTCGTGTCTTTAGCTTAATTGAATGAAGATCAGCACATATTTCGCCCCAAAAGTCAGTACTACAAGTTAAAAGAGTATTTGACCAAGCAAGTTTCATAGACAACACTATTAACGTAGGTCATATACTCAGACTGTAGGTGCTCATAGAAACATTTCATGGGATTTTTCCAACAAAACCGATGATTTGTAAATTATGTTTTACACGGTAAATTATGATCTAGCATTTGCGTGTTCCAAATCAAATTAGAAAAGAATTAAAAATTAAAAAAATGGAAAAACATAAATTTTCAAACTATGTCTGTTTAGATGATAGCACAATAAAGTTTATTTTGAAATTAAGCAGGAACCAAAGCTAAGAAATGATCCTGTTCAATTTATTAAACAAACACTTACTAATAAAACCTCTATCGATTTAATTAAAAATATTAGAAGAAACAGTTTGGTGCTTGATCACGCCTTGTGCATGCAAGTTAAAGTTAAGCAGTAAGGGACTTACAACGGAATTCACATTAACAATTCGACTTGGAGAACCCCTAATAAGGGATGGCAAAAGAAGAACAGAAAGCAAAGCTGGAGCTAGATGATTCACTTGCAAGTGTTCCTCATAACCATCTTTTGAAAATCTCTGTGGCTCTGAAGAAGAAAATATATAAATGAGTGGGTCAGTTTTAGAGATATTCAAAAGAGAATCAATCCAAAGGTACCTATATTTAAATTAAGCCTATTATTGTATCATTCAAAAAATTGATAAAAATAAATATCACGGTATGTGATTTCACAAACTACAGTCAAGTAGTCAATGTCTCAGTATATAAAGTGAAGAGTCAGTAATTGACGATGACTGTAAGTCCAAAGCAATAGGAATATGAAATTGCCAATAAAATTCAGCATCATATTTATTAAATCAGAAATATCAACCTCCAATGGAAAAAATTCCAGCATTATTAATGAGAACATGTAGGGGTCCAGAGCGTGCATTCCATGCATCAGCAAACCTCACAACAGAGTCCAACGAGAGAAGATCAACCTCCATCACCTTGAGAAGCCACAAGCAGGTGCCAATTAAACAACAAAGGAATTTAACAACTAAAATTTTATTATGAAGTATGCATGTTCAGCGAAGCTGATAAGAGCATATGATGATCTAATGAAAAGATTTAAAGCAAGACGTAAAGTTTCAAAGATAAGAAGTGTCTTATTGGATTGAAATGATTAAGATCAATTGCCAAAAGTAAGCTGACCAATAAGGCTAACATATATAACTTCACATACATCATACAGAATTTACCAAACCTTGCTCATAAATAGAAGTTTGATGTCCCTAATGATCATGTAAGTTACCTCAATATTAAGAGGAAGGCCCATCCCTGACCATTCATTCTGCCACTTCTGTATCAACTCCTGAGCTACCTGTGGCTTCCTTACTGCCATAATGACATGGGCCCCTGACTGAGCTAATTGCCTGCATGATGAACGAATAACAAAAGCCCAAGTTCATCAATTTCCCGTTTATATAAATGAAAAGGCGACGCCCATAAGTTAAATAAATAGTAACGTGGGCTCTGCTTGACTGCCTTGCAAATGTAGGACTAGGAAACTCAAATAAGTAAATATGTACCATCTATTATTAGTAAGGATCTTCCTTGCCAAAGATTCCTCGGAACAAAAACAGCAAAAACGCAGTACCCCGAAGTGTCTAAAACTCCATAATTACACAACCACAAAAATCCCAGTCTTATTCTTATTAATCGATTTTCACAAATCTCCCAGCTGACGAAGGAGAAGCAGGAAGCCGAAATGGTTTTTAGATAATTGCAGTTTCAGTACATTTTCTCTCAGCCTGCTTCCTGCTAATTCAGTTCATTTTCACCCAGTTTGCTTCTATAGGAAAATGAAGAAAGAAGCAAAAGTTAGCTGGGGGAAAAAAAAACAAAAACCAAAGAAGGCAAACCTGGCGATTTCGAGGCCTATGCCACTAGTGGATCCTGTGACAATGCAAGTGAGGTCATTAATGGGAGGAAGAGGCATGGGGTTTTGCAAGTGACTAGCCATTATTCTCTGAAATAGCATTTCGTAAACCAAATGGAACCACCCTCTCAACCACTCAATCCAACCCAACCCCCGCTTCTTCCTCTCGTCCTTGTTCTTGGCTTCCTCGGTGGAAGACGACGTCGTTGCCATCTGAAGCAAAACCCTCCTCTTTCTCTGGCGCTCTCAGTTTCTCCAGTACAATCGTATCGGAGATCTGTCTTTTTGGAGAGAGCATCTGAGTATGTAATACTATTGCTTTGTATTTCCGCCTTCCCGTGCGTGTGGACTGTGGACAGTCCAGTAGCGTGAAGACTGTGGAGTGAAGTCCCGCTGAATTTTGGTCCAATTAAAAAAGTAACGCTGAGTTGAATCGGACTTCCAACGCGGGGTGAGCAGGGCAGCACTGAAAGTGGAAACCCGAATTGACCAAGCCAGTTGACCTCATCCTCCAATTAATCCCAAATTTCGATTGAACTATCCAATTAACCCCATTTTGATCCAGTGCAACCGGCTTGGCCAGCGATCCAATAGGTTGGCGTTTGTCTCTTTTCTCTATTGAATTAATACTACCTCCGGTAGCATGCGGATTATATTCCAATTAATAAGTCATATAGATTAATTTTAAAACAAATAGATATAAATATTTTAAAGTAATTTATTTAATTTTTTTAATGTATATGAATTAATCAATTAGCTCTTATATTAAGAAAAAAAAATAATATCATCTTTTTGTAATACGTTGAATTTATGATAAATTTATAGTAGAGTATAAAAAAGAGTGTTGATTTAGTTTGTCAAATTCTAGTTCAATCAAAATTTTGGACCAATCAACCCTCTACATCACTCTTGGTTTTTTTTTTTTTCCTAATTAAAAAGACAGGAATTGACAATGTGAGATTGGAGGTAGAATTAAATTCATAAGGGAAAAAAATTGAACCGAAACGGTCAGTTCAACCAAAAAAACTAGTCAGTAGTTTAGTCTGATTTGAGTGCTCAATCGGCCAAAAATTGAAATCAGTCAAATTGGGGTAAATCACTAATAAACCAGTTTGGATAATTATGTTGTTATTGGTCCTTTTTTTTTTTAATTCAGTTCCCATTATCTTAATCATTATAAATTTAAATAAATTTTAATGACAATTTTGGTATAAATAATTAATAATTTTAATTATTGAGAAATCGTAAATATCAAAATTTTTAATGTTATTATATTTTGTTATTGTTATAATCAAACTACTATTGAATTTCTTCGCATTTTGTTATTAGTTATTATTAATGTTGTTGTGCTTTATTATTTTTAATTAAATTATATTATGTTAATATGACTAATTTAATCTCAAGTTGACCCTAATCTATTCTACTGATTCATTGGCTGTGGAATTCTTTTGTTCTTGTAAATTTGTAAACTGAAACTCTGAAAACCCTCGTACCATTCGACTACAACGCTTATAAATAATATACATTGACTTTGTGTGTACAAAATTTTTTGGGTAAAATGTGTTTATATTATTTTTTTGGTGGAAAAATGTGTCTATATTTTTTCTTAAATTGCGTACAACACTCTAAATAATCAAACCCTACTCTGGGTGATCCTTGATCCAAAATTTTGAGCCCATTTCTCTCTCTCTTGTTCGGCTTCATGAAGAGCATGCGCACGGGTGCGTGGGAAGAGCCTCTGCAGCATATCATACCCACTCTAACTAAAAGGCGTCAGGCCGTTAACTCCGCCCGCTCTCACACACATCATTTAGGGCGGGAAGAGATTCATAGACGTTATGTTTTTAAAACTTGCAGGCCATACTGTTATCCTCATTTCTGCGCAGCTCACCGGAAAAGAAAAGATACTCTGCTTCAGTAGCATTTGGTACAGAATTTTATTTTCCTCTGCTCTTTTTGATATATTGACACTCTTCATTCTCTTTTCGTGCATGCTAATTTCCTTTTACTGTGTTGTTTCCTCCGTAAATCTTGCTACGCAATCCAAAACATCGTTTCCATTTCCGATTATTTTTAGTCCTGATTTTGTTTACCTATATCTTCGTCTCAGCATCACCTGCATTTTAATTTCGATGTAGTTTGTGCAAAGCATTCTTGATTCGGAAATGTTTCGGTAGCGATGAATTCAGAAATTCGCCTGGCATTTTACTAGCAGGATTCGTCATCAAGATTGTGAACCCTGTTAATCTGACTATATCTATGATCGATACATTTATGCACGCTTTTCTCTGTTTGGTCAGAAGGAAAAATGCAAGGGTGGGCTGGGAAGGCTCTCGTTGTTATAATAATCACTTCCATCTTTTTCCGATGCGTCTGTGCGTACAACCACTCCGTCGGCGGACCTGCCGGCTGGGACCTCCGTTCGAATCTCCAATTGTGGTCTGCTGCGACCAATTTTCTTGTTGGTGACAATCTAGGTGCACTTTCTTTTGCTCTATAACCTGAATAAGTACTTACCTTCTTTGATCGCGAAACTGACTAAATCTGAATTCGTTATAAGTCTAGACGAAGCAGTAAATTAACAAGCTCATTAGACTAATTAAGATGATCAGAAGAACAGAATTAATGGAATAACACATGCGTGGTTTCTGTGCCGTGTTTATTAACTATTCTTTTTCTTTCATTCTGTTTCTTGGCAACCAAACGACGTGCTATGCCGCAATCTTGAACAGAGTGCATGAAAATATCTCTTTTCTCAAAATTTTGTAAATGAATGCTGATGAACTGCGATTCCGTGTAAAATGGAATGGACCAAATATTCGAGAAAAATGTATAGATAAGAAGTAATAATCACAACGAAGTCTAACTACATTGCTGCTTTCCTAATTTGACTTGACAGTGTTCAGATACACGCCGAACCACGACGTGGTGGAAGTTAGCCAGCTTGGTTATGACACCTGTGTAATCTCCAATGCCATCGGCACCTACGATGATGGAGAGACTGTAATTCAACTCACTGAACCAGGAATTAGGTACTTCGTCTGTGGGCGAGCAGGGCACTGTCAACAAGGACTCAAACTACAGGTCCAAGTTCTTGCACTGCCCAGCAATGGAACCGATGGTGGTCGTCCTCCGCGACCCAGGCTCCCTCCAAGGAAACCTCCTCCTCCTCCTCGAAGATCTCCTCCTCCACCTGCCCCTCGCACGCCATCCTCTCCGTCTTCTCTGCCATTTCCTCCACCTGCTGACGTACCTGTACCAGTTTCCGGTGTTGATAACATCAAGGTGGATACGCCATGGCTGTTCCAAGGATTGGTGCCCATGATTGCGATTTATACTCTCTTCGCGCTAGTTTGATTTTCACTATTTGGCGATTCCTCGTTTTGATCGGAGATGAAGTACTGCCGTAGACCTTTGGATATATGCTTCTTATATCTTGATGCTAACATGGCGTTGATTTGGCTCTACTTCCTATCTTAGAAACTTGAAATACATTTTACGGTAAAATCTTTACCTTACGAAGTCGGAAAGTATACAGTGAAACTTCTCATATTCTAGTGATCATGAAATCATGTTTTTGAACAAGAATTGTGACAGTTTTGCACCCTTTAAAGAGTACATTAGACATCTAGCTCTGTTCATTTTACAGCAAAGACCAATGGGGTTCTATTTTTCAATGTCTAAGCAGCCGATATTTTTGGATTCAAAGACCGTAGTTTGCTTCTTCTTCCTCCCCCCGGGGAACAAGATGGACAAAACTACTACCTATTATGCTAATTATAAGAGTTATTTGACTAATTTGAGGAGATTAATAAAATAAGTTAAGTTAATTATTTGTAATAAGTAGGTGTTGTCTTTCCTAAAATACCCTTACTGACCAATTACATTGGTTAGAATTACTATTGTTAGAAGGATTATCTGAAAAAAAATGCTTAAATATAAAAAACAAAGTAGATTAGAGTCTTATATTTAGGATTAAAATAAAAATCAAATAAACTCTTATTTTAAAACTAGGAGGTAGTAATACCGAAGTTTGATGTATCCAGTTTGCTTGAGTTCCTGATTTGAAAATGGGCTCCAGTCCGGTCAAGCTTAATTGAGGCCGAATCTTGACCAACCCAAAGGTTTTTAGTAGGTTCAACTGCATGTTTATATGGAGTAGCAAGGATGGCTTCGGGCGAGCCCAAACAGTTCATATTTTAAATTTTTAATTAATTATTTGTAAATAAAAACTTGTTTTTTGAAAAAATGATAGCTGAAAAATTACCTTTATTTTATATTCTATATCTTTTAAAATAATTATCTTAAACAAATAAAAATAAAAAAATTAAATCTAATCGTCCAAATGAAATCAAAATGGTCTAGATTTAATGAGTTTAAAATGCTGATCACTTAACAAAACCAGTTTCGGTGTTTATCACTTTAATGAGCACACTAAACTCATCAGACCTTAATGGTCCAGATCTCATTTGGATGGTCCGGATCTGATTTCTTTTTTATTTTTGTTTATTTAAAATAATTGTTTTAATATATATATAGAATTTAAAAGAGAGACAATCTCTTAACTATCATTCTTTCAAAAAATAGTTTTTTCTATTTAAAAATAATTAATTAAAAATTTTAAATTTAAACTGTTTAAATCAGATATAGATAGTTCAGATCAAATGAGTTTAGGGTGCTAGTCAAAATGATAAGTACTGAAACTAGTTTCCTCACTTAACTGGTTACAGTGGGACACCAAGTGGATGTACGGGATGATATTGATGAGAATCATTGCACCGCTCAAATAATTGCGGCGTCTTTGGCTTAATTTTTCAAGTTGAGTTTACTGTTTTGATCAGCCAAATTTGAATTAATCTGGCTCGGTCTTATGCTATTCCTTTCGCCCTTTTGAGATGACCTAGACATTATTTAATATTTTAATGTTTCCAAGAGGCAGTATGCCCCATTGGGAGCTCCCATAGGCGAATTGGAGCCCACGAATACATTGTTTATGGCTCAGTATCATCTGATATTTTGATCTGAGCTTACATGCTACAGCAAAACTTCAGTCCCAAAGAAATGCGATGAAAAGGCTGGAAGTTAACGTTGAGCAATTTTTTAATTACGAATAACTGGCAGGAGTCCCTGCATAGAGGATGAGAAATGAGCTATGTTGTTCATGCATCATATATATTGCAGCTTTAGTTTTTATATCATATAGGGATTATTATTAGAATCTTATTTCAATCTAGATTTGAGCTTCTCCTTAAGGGAAAGAAAGAAGTGTACCACACGGATTGTCTAGTATAATATTTTCTGATTGAAGTATATGTTGCAGCCATCAAAACGCACGAGAGCTACAAGATCAGAGGCCGCACCAGCCCTTTTCATTGCCAGGGTCCGTACTCCGTATAGCCCCAAATTCAAAGCCTATACCTTTTTGAGGGCAATCATATCATGGGTTGTTTGAGACTGTTCTTGAGAAGAAAGAGAGCTCTCTTAGACAATGGCAACATTGGGTCTTATTAGGTCCTCCGGAAGAAAGAGAAAACAATCAATTTTTGTTGTTGTTGTTGACATAATCACCTACCCTTATGGAGACAGCTCATACCGATGAGAAAACCTCAACTTCCTCATTGTCTTTGCATTCATTCATGTCTAATTGCTATCAAATGAAAAAAGAGAATACTTAGTTGCTAAGCTATACATGACTTTTTTTGCCAAGTACAATTTTACAGACGCAATAACCGAAGAGATTAAAAAAAAAAAAAAGGAAAGAGAAGGTGGATGCGCAAATTGAGTTGAGACTTGTCTAATTTAGAAAGTAATCAAAGGAAAAAAAAAGAGAGGGAGGGGCTATTTGCGGGAGATGGAGGGGCTGGTCCTGTCTGATTTCTTGTGTTGATTGAAAAGGTTCGCTAGCTGTGATCCATTAAAAAGAAAAATCAAATTTAGAAAGGTCCTAGTTCTTTGAGAGGTCCTTAGGTGTAGGGTATGTCCTAACCCACTCATTACACATACTTGTGACCCAAAGATGGGATCTTTTGTTTCAGTGTTCACTGGCATGCGCAGATACAACTTGCTTCCAGACATGTAGATCATGATCCCACTGAAGTGATCATGTCCCCAATATAGGATATTATTTGGCATGCTTTGCGTCCATTACAATAAGGCATATCTGCATAGGAATAATTTAGGATCTCATTAGAAAATACGCATACATAGCTGGACTCAAAACTCGTGTATATATTTGTTCAGCATAATACTTCTTTTTAAAGTTCGTTTATCATGCTCTGAGTAATTGTGTTTGATTTTGAAACTAAACGTCCTTCTATAGTGATATTGACAAGTTAGCTAAGCTACTTGAAACCAAAATATACAACTGAAGTTTCAAAGCAAGATATTACAGAGTTGAAGGGACAACTCATTCGTACCCTTACTTTCAATCCATGCCATGCATTGTTCGTTCATTCACTTCATCCCCAAAAGAAGAAATGTACAGATCATCTCTGCCCAAATAGTGGGGTTCACATCTCAGATTCAAGACCCTTTGCTTGATTTACTGCATCTTAAACATCACCTCTGTAATTCTTTGTTATGTTTTGACTTAGAATTCTTCCATGCACTGATTAATTTCAAACCTGTCAATATGATGGCACACTTAATACCTGTCTAGGATCAACCCATTTGCAAACACAAGATTTTTCTTTTAAACACTAGCTGGTTATACATTAAGCCTATGAAAATATATACAGAAGCCTTTTAAATGATAAAGTCTACTGATTTCTTACTGGGAGTCCTAAGAATTTCTCGTGTAAAGACCAGGAAAGGTACTGCCTCTTTGCAGTACAAAGTACACGGAGTATTCTAGAAATCAAAAGCCTGAAAATACAAAGACAATAACATGTTGGTTCCCACTGAGCAAGAGAGCCAGCGCACATGATTCTGATTCAGGTACGTATAACACGGTACTCAGCTTGGGACTCAGTAAATAACAGACAGAGTACAATGGATTACAGAGAAGCTAGCTCAAGAGAAGTATGTCGAAAGAAACTTGACCATAAGAAGAAGAAGAAGAAACAATAAGAAGTTAGTGATGGACTCAACAACGTCATTATGGCTAGCGAATCTGCTGGTGTGGTGAACAAAATTCTCAGTGACAATGTTTCTTGGTTTCCGCTCCAGAAGATATTAAAGAAATTACGTTAGTTTTAGTTCCAAAGTGCAACATTAAAATTGAGCATGATTATAGAAAAGAAAATCAGTGCATGAATTGGCTTATTATGAATATTCTAAGGCATAATACTAACTCTTATCCTTAATATAAGAGCTAAATAACTAATTTAAAAAAATTAAAAAATTAGTTAAGTTGATTATTTATAACAAATTTATATTGATTTTCTTAAATAATCACATTTAATTATGTACATTAGAATTACATTTTGGTGGAAGTCTTACAATCAATATACAATAAGGATATTTTAGAAAAAAAAACATTATAAATTTGGGAAACAAAGTATACTAAAATATTATATTTAGAACTAAATTCAAGTTCAACATTTCAACTAATTCTTATGTTTAGGATCGGAGATAATATTTTTACACATTATCTTATTGATCATAGGAGAGGTTAACTGGAGTTAACAAATAAGGGTCATCATAGATTCCTATATCTTCTCTTAGTCTTATCAATCTGAGTGGCAATAACTCTTTCAAAAATACTCTCTAGATTCACAATGACTTAAAGACTTTGTTATGGTATGATTTAACCATAGCCATTTATTTACTAAAAAAAATAAAAGAAACACATGCACTTGAGTTACATGATTCTCTTGGCTTCAAAATTATATGATGATGAGCAAAAATATGTGGTAATAGCAATTCCTGCCAATGGAGGAAAGCAAGAGTGAACGAGAGAAACTGCCAAATCAAATAAAGTGTACGTGGGATTAGATGCACAGATGTTCAGTTACAGATAAATATGCACTTATTCTAAGTGTTTTTGGTAGGTGAAGTCGCATTATTATTAAACTCCGGTTTTTGTTACTGTACGCTCTACGATTCCTCTTTTGCCACGTGTTGAAACCCCAACGCTTCCTCAATTTAAATCATATTATAGATTATCTGGATTTAGATAATCCTTAAAACCCAATCAATCAATTAATCTATTCAAAATGCACACAACAAAATGCAAAGACAAACTCATTAGACAGCGAACTTTCTATAATTATGTTCATTTATATTAGATAAAATAAAACATATTTTACAAGATGATTCACTTAAACCTGTTGTTTAAAGATTCTCTAGAGAATACCATGGAGGGCCATTGTCACCTTTGGAATTAAATAAAAGTCATAAGAGAAAAAAAAAAAAGCAGTTATAGTGCTGTTTTCTGAAATGATATTTTCCTTAGCAAAAGAGCAAAAGAGCTAACAGACATAAGATAAACAATATTTAATCTAGAATTTTATACATAGAAAGATTCCACATGATTAATACTAATTGGGAAGAGGTCTCTTCTGGTACAGAGATTACGGAATAACATGCATTGCGAGTAATTCTACTGAACAGATAGAATTGACAATGCAGTGAGAAAATAGAACTAAAACTCAAACACAAACTCAGAATATGTACCTACAAAAGGTGGATAAACTTCTAAAAAGACTCTCAAATTTGGTTAATTTTTCAGAAGGAAGAAAGATTAACCACATTAATTATTGATTAATTAGAAACTCCGTTGATCCGTTCCATGAAACGCTGGTAAGATTCCAGCCTCTGCAATCTCATTTGGCGATTGAAGTTCTTGATGAAAGCTTCTGCTCTCTTATACAGTTCTTCCGGGCTCATCGATTTCTCTCTCCTCAACGACGCCGTATCGTTGAAAGTTTCTGATTTTCTCAATTCCTTCTTAGCCCATGCCGCTGGATCGTCGTCGTCGTCGTCGCCGCCGCCGCCGTCCTCTGCCTTGCCATCTCCTCGGACTAACAATGGCTCTGCTTTCCTGATCGTCGCAGTCCAAGTGTCGCTTTTCTTAAGCATCGGCGTCGCCGTCTTCCGTTGCCCCTCCATAATTGCCCTCCACGTACCATCAAGCGAGTCATCAGAATCCGGCGGGAATTCCTTGCTTACGTTCTTTCCCGATGATGGGTCCACCGGAGACAAAACAGAGTCTTTAACGTTTGTTCTTTCGTCGTCGTCGTCGTCTCCTTGTTCTTCATTCGGCTCATTGGTTTGGTTTTCTGGCACGGGTTGGTGGGTGGTATCGGAAACATCGTGTTCTGAAATGGCGGCGGAGATCGTTGTGTGCTTGGGATCATCGGGTGGGGAATCAGAATAGGGTGTGCTTTTGTGGTGGAAGTTGGAGGACGCAACAATGGTGATAATGATGAAGTTGACGATGACGTAAACGAACGGTGGCGAAAGTAAGGTTCTTGCAGAAGCCCAAAGACGAGGAACAATGGAGACGACGAGGTTAAATGTAAATGGGATTACAGTCACTTTAAACAAAACCAGAGTGGACAGAATCCCCATGGACATAAGCACAAGCTTGGATGCCCATATAGCTGTTTCAAATCTGTTCGATTTCAGCGAAGATGGGTTCACAAAAAGATCCATCCTTCGAAAGGAAGATTCAACTGGGTAAAGAAAAAGCAGGAATTTTCCTGAAAATTTCAGACGAACGAATCTTGGGTCAACTTCAAAACTAAGTGCAATCCAGAAACTTGAACTAGTTTTACAGTGGGTGTCAAAGAGGTCCCAGCATTCCGAGCAATAAATTCTTCTCTGAACCAAAGAGAACAGACCTAGAAATCCACAAAGGAACGATTATCAGATGAGTGAACTGAAGAAGAAAGGAGGAATCCAGATGTAGGATTGGCGAAGAGAAGAAAAGGAACGAGAAAAAAGTGGGATTTCAGAGGAAGCTAGAAAATTTGAATCCAAAGAAGAGAGAGCTTTACAGCTTGGGTGTAATAAGAACAGAGAGAGAGCTTTTTGAGGAGCTTAATCTACAAAGCTGGAAAACTCCAAAAAAATATATGAATAATGGGGTAGTGGAGTGGGATGGGCGGAGTGCGGAAGCGGAGCTGAGAGAGGTATAAGAAGAGGATTTTTTTTTTTTTACCGGAGGTATAAGAAGAGGATTTAAGTGAGCGAAAAAGTAGCATAATGCTGCGAGGCAGGCGCCAGGCAGGCAGGTTTCATGAATCTCCTACCGTTCGATGCTCCAAAACAGTTCAATTTATCTGGGCATTTTGTCTTGAAGGGGTAAAAAATAATTTTCTTACTTTAATGACCAATAAAATAGTTGAAATAATAAGCGGCCTATTCTATAAAAAAAAAAACAAGAACATAAGTATAAATTTTAGAAAATATATTTGTTAGAAGAATTTTAACGTTAACGCTCTCAGTTTAACAAAGATTGATGTCAAACCTAAAATGATTTAAAAATACTTTGAGCTATAAAGGAAAAAAAATCAGTTTTAATATTCAATTCAATATAATTTAATTCTTTAAATTTAACTGTGTTGAAAGTATGTACTCCGGTCCTTAATATAAAACCTATTTAACTAATTTGATTATATTAAGGAAGTTAGGTAAGTTAGTTAATTATAAAAAATGTGACATGTTTTTCCTAAAATACTATAATCATCTTTCTTAATACCCCTCTTTCTCTTCTACTTGATTATGGTTGAGAGAGTATCCATAGAAGTAATTTAGAAAAAATTAAAAATTATAAAAAATGAGTCTTATATTTAGGATCAAAACTAACTCAACAATTGGATCCTATATTAAGGGTCGGAGGAGTGCTTAATTTCTGTAAGAAAAAATGGTAAAAGACTATTAAAAAAAAACACTAAAAGATTGTTACTGAATAACAAGTCCTGTAATAATTCAAATTTCCTAAATTTGAGAAGTAGGGTGTAAACCTATGGTACGCTAAATCGGACAATTTTTTATTGAAAAAAAAATTAAGTGAATTAGGTCCGATGATCACTACGAATTTACAATATGGGTAGAACTTAAAATTCAGAAAAGATGCACAAAAATGTATTTTATTCATCAATATGATTCTCAGATTGGATGATTTTACGCATACATTATTCATAAATATTAAGAGAAAATAGTAAAAATATTTATGAAATCCAATCTCATAATTGTACTCTTTTTTCTTAATTATCTTTTTGTTTAAAAACTCTACATTCTTTTTACGCCGGTTGTCTTAATGCACCATATATACCAGCAAAAAAGATTAATTGTCCACATAACAAACTCTATCTTTTGTTTATCTTTATATTAAAAAAATGGTAACTCTACGTTAATTAGCCATCCTATTTTAATTTCAATATATTCCTTCTGCATGATTTAAATTTAATAAATTGGTTTAGAGAATCATGTGAGAATCATGTGAGAAGCTATTAATATGTGGTGTGATAGTTTTTCTACTACTACTGCTAATAATAATAATAATAATAATAATAAATATGACATATGAATCTAAGGAATATATAAGAGCTATAAAAAGGCACATTCCAACCTTTTCACATTTAAGAATTATAAAATCTGCATTTAGTTAAAAATGAGCATGTGCAGGCGCGCTTCTTATCTTTTTTGTTTTTTTTTTTTGGGGCAAAGGATTTTTCCCCCTTCAATTTAGACATTAAAAAATAATAATAATGAAAATGGGTACAATAATAATAAAATTAGTTGTCCCAAAAAGCTACATCGAGTTGCTTTGTGGCTAAGTGTGGATTGGTAAATGTATATGGTCCACAATTTTATTTATTGCTTTGCCCTTTCTTCATCATTCAAGTTACATCTTTGTCTCTCAAAAAGTCTCTCTGAGTTTATTAGATATCATCAACCTTGGCCCTCTGTCCTGTTTTTGTGAGTGTGTGGTCTTTAGTCTTTTTTCTTCTCATGGTAATATATAATATGACGGTTATATTTGAAGACAAATTGATGGAAGCATATTCCTCCTGCCTTTTTGCCCTGAGTAATTAAAAAAGAAAATCAAAAATAGAAACAAAAATGATGGAATCTTGTTAGTGGCATCCCTTAATTGAGATTGTTTTGTTAGGACATAATTTTCTAAACATATTTATAAGTCAGTCTCAATATATTTCATCAAAATTGGCAAAAACCTTAAATTTCATTTAATCAACAGTTAGGACCCTCATTTAATATATATATTTTTCAAAAAAAAATAATAAATCTATATGGGCAGACTAGTATATTTACATTAAAAATTTAATGATACGACTTATAAATAAGATCCAAAAAAATCTTTTCTTAAGAGGACTAGAGAAATATTAACCAGCAAAACATGACCAAATAGTATTGAAAGAAAGGGTTCAATTTGTTTTCCCAAAAATTAATAAGGGTTTCTATCTAAATACTATTAGTTCATCGTATGATAATATGATAGTTAATATCTCAATGAAGACGGCTCTGATCTGATCAAGGAATCTTCACCTATTTTGTGGAATTACAAATTAAAAATTCAATTTAAACCGTTATACTCCGAACACTTTAAGAAATACTCCTCATAGGAAATTAATGTATGCAATGATTATATATGTTTTGGAGGTAATTTTATGAACATCACATATATTAAACATTAATTGATAGGAATTTGTAATGTTTTTTATAATCTACTTAATTTTTTTGCAAATAATTCTTTATGATCTACTTATAATAAAAGATTCTCCTAATTTATTGCTTAAATTTGATGGATACCAGAACAAGTATTTTTTTTAAAAAAAATTATTTTGGAAGTGTTAATTAAATTGATAGCATTCATGGTTGGGTGTCGGTAAGTGGAGGGATGGGGTCTGTGTGTTGTTCCCCAGGGAACATCCACCTGCCGGCCCACCCTCCCAATCCCATTTTATCTTAAATTTCAAAACTATTCATTTCTCTATTCTTTTTTTTAAGGTATTTTTCGATATTTTCAATATTCTCCTGTTATTTTCATATTTGTTTTTGGGGAAAAAAAATTAGATGACTTGTGTATTGGGAGCGTCTCTCCAAAGTTCTGGTAGGTCTCGTATTTTAAAAAGTTGCTCTCCAATTATTTCAACTAAGAGCACAACCAATACATATATGATTAACTATTTACATGAAATTAATGTGTTTAATATTTAAATCTCAAAATTCTTTTTGAAAATTGGAAAAATAGTTTCCTTCTGTTGTGCATAAATCGCAAAATAACATCCCATCATGCATAAAAATATAACAAGCTCACTACCAATAGCTATTATTGTACGTGCTGTAAAATTTATAACAAGGTGCATACTAATTATGAATAATATAACTTATTTTATTAATTAAAAAATAAAATACTAATATTTTGTTCACAACGAGATTTAAATGCAAGCGTGTATATGTATTGCTCATAATTCTATATAACGAGTTATATGATTTAAATTTGTAAATAAGTACTACTTGTTATAAATTTGTATAATATGTAGATTTGAGTTATAGATATAGAGAAAGAAAATTATTTGATTTACAGAAAAATAAATAATTATCCAAAACCCAATTAATTAATTAATTAATATGCGTGGTGTAATTATTATATTGGGGGAAGGCATATATAGAAGATGAAATTCACGTGACACATCTCATGCATGCATCATGGCAAAGCGCCAAAATGAGATCCATCCATTCATCCACCTCAATCATAGTTATGCCAATTTGGTCTTTTCCCATTCTCACTTTCTTCTTTTTTTCTTCATTGTTATTATTATTCGTTATTATCATTATTATTTTATTCTGTTTATTTTTCTAGATTTTGCTTTTGCCATTTCGTTATCAATTAAACTCAAACTTAATTATTCATAAATAGTTTTGGTTAATTGTATATTCATTGAAGACACGTCACTAATCATTCAATTCAACTTAGCTTTCATGCATGCAAAATCTCTTTCTCTGCCTTACCCCTTAGGTTTAAAGATTCCTATATATTTCCTTCCATCTTATATAGTAGTATAAGAGAATTGTTTTTAAAAGATTACCTATTTCTATTTATGAAAAAACACAGATAGTTTGTCTGAAATTTTTAATATTGCCTTTTATTTTTTCCTCTCATTTATTGTTGGATAATTTTATTATATTAATTATTTATTCATTCATTCTCTCTCCATAAATAAAGGTGTTTTTAAAAAATAAGTTACATTTTTTTCACATATTTAACATTAACTAATTTCAACCAACTTTTCCGTTTGCATAATTCAATTATTATATATGATATGAAAAAATTGGAGGGAGTATAATATACATCCTTATATGTGTGCGCTTTTTTTTCCCCTTCGCATAAGTATCTTTCTATTAGAGATAGTTTTATTCAAGACACTATTAAGCACTAAACGTGAACACTTTTCTTAACAAAAATTTAAACATTAATATGCCACATTGTGTGTGTTTGTATATTTACGAGGGTGTTTGAATTCCCCTAAAAATACTTTTCAAAAATAATTTTACATAAGTCGAGACAAAATTCCTTTCATATACCTTATTTTGTTTACCATAAAATTATGGTTTTGTTTCCACCTATACATTCGTGTAAGTCATTCGAGGTAGGAGATATTGTTTAATATTGTGAGCTAAACCACACACATATATTATCCTTTTCATAGACTTTGATATAATGTTAGGGGTTC